TGTTGTATACAGTGCCAGTGTTGTACACAGTGCCTGTGTTGCATACAGTGTCAGTGTTGCATACAGTGCCAGTGTTGTATACAGTGCCAGTGTTGTATTCAGTGCCAGTGTTGTACACAGTGCCTGTGTGGCCTGCAGTGTCAGTGTTGTATACAGTACCAGTGTTGTATACAGTGCCAGTGTTGTATACAGTGCCTGTGTTGTATACAGTGCCAGTGTTGTATACAGTGCCAGTGTTGTATACAGTGCCAGTGTTGTATACAGTGCCAGTGTTGTATACAGTGCCAGTGTTGTATACAGTGCCTGTGTTGTATACAGTGCCTGTGTTGTATACAGTGCCAGTGTTGTATACAGTGCCAGTGTTGTATACAGTGCCAGTGTTGTATACAGTGCCAGTGTTGTATACAGTGCCAGTGTTGTATACAGTGCCAGTGTTGTATACAGTGCCAGTGTTGTATACAGTGCCTGTGTTGTATACAGTGCCAGTGTTGTATACAGTGCCAGTGTTGTATACAGTGCCAGTGTTGTATTCAGTGCCAGTGTTGTATACAGTGCCTGTGTTGTATTCAGTGCCAGTGTTGTATACAGTGCCAGTGTTGTATACAGTATTCAACAGGACTGATAGCGTTGTGGGGAGAGTTACGGGGATGTGATCCTTCCTGCATTTTCCCACGGCGGTAATCCATTTGTTTAGTTCTGTTTTCACGGCTGATGTTTCCTTATCACCACTACTGGCTGTGACACTGATGTTTCCTTATCACCACTACTGGCTGTGACACTGATGTTTCCTTATCACCACTACTGGCTGTGACACTGATGTTTCCTTATCACCACTACTGGCTGTGACACTGATGTTTTATCACCACTACTGGCTGTGACACTGATGTTTCCTTATCACCACTACTGGCTGTGACACTGATGTTTCCTTATCACCACTACTGGCTGTGACACTGATGTTTCCTTATCACCACTACTGGCTGTGACACTGATGTTTCCTTATCACCACTACTGGCTGTGACACTGATGTTTCCTTATCACCACTACTGGCTGTGACACTGATGTTTCCTTATCACCACTACTGGCTGTGACACTGATGTTTCCTCACCACCACTACTGGCTGTGACACTGATGTTTCCTCACCACCACTACTGGCTGTGACACTGATGTTTCCTCACCACCACTACTGGCTGTGACACTGATGTTTCCTTATCACCACTACTGGCTGTGACACTGATGTTTCCTCACCACCGCTACTGGCTGTGACACTGATGTTTCCTCACCACCACTACTGGCTGTGACACTGATGTTTCCTCACCACCACTACTGGCTGTGACACTGATGTTTCCTTATCACCACTACTGGCTGTGACACTGATGTTTCCTTATCACCACTACTGGCTGTGACACTGATGTTTCCTCACCACCGCTACTGGCTGTGACACTGATGTTTCCTTATCACCACTACTGGCTGTGACACTGATGTTTCCTTATCACCACTACTGGCTGTGACACTGATGTTTCCTCACCACCACTACTGGCTGTGACACTGATGTTTCCTCACCACCACTACTGGCTGTGACACTGATGTTTCCTTATCACCACTACTGGCTGTGACACTGATGTTTCCTCACCACCGCTACTGGCTGTGACACTGATGTTTCCTCACCACCACTACTGGCTGTGACACTGATGTTTCCTCACCACCACTACTGGCTGTGACACTGATGTTTCCTCACCACCACTACTGGCTGTGACACTGATGTTTCCTTATCACCACTACTGGCTGTGACACTGATGTTTCCTGGCTGTGACACTGATGTTTCCTTATCACCACTACTGGCTGTGACACTGATGTTTCCTTATCACCACTACTGGCTGTGACACTGATGTTTCCTTATCACCACTACTGGCTGTGACACTGATGTTTCCTTATCACCACTACTGGCTGTGACACTGATGTTTCCTTATCACCACTACTGGCTGTGACACTGATGTTTCCTTATCACCACTACTGGCTGTGACACTGATGTTTCCTTATCACCACTACTGGCTGTGACACTGATGTTTCCTTATCACCACTACTGGCTGTGACACTGATGTTTCCTTATCACCACTACTGGCTGTGACACTGATGTTTCCTCACCACCACTACTGGCTGTGACACTGATGTTTCCTCACCACCACTACTGGCTGTGACACTGATGTTTCCTCACCACCACTACTGGCTGTGACACTGATGTCCTGTACTCTGTCTGAACGCCTCCCAGTCAGTTGTGTATTGGGGTCTGGGGGTGAGAGTTTCTTAATAGGATTAGTTGATAGCGTCATTGTTATAGGTAGGTGGTCGCTTGTGCTTACTGGACCTCTCTCTAGGCGGGTATTAAGGAAGTTGTGGTTGTTTGACAGTATTATGTCTGGTGTGTCACTGTGTCCTTGTCTGGCAAGTTGAGAAGTCGGGGCCCAGATGGGTTAGCTTCTCGTTCCTTAACATATTGTAGATGGCTTATCCTGCCTGCTTGTCTCAGGGTACTGTGTCTTGCCTTCAGGTCTGCCAGGAAGTAGGCAGGTGTGGTTCTTCTGGTGAGTTTCATGTCGACCAGGGGAAGGTAAGGTCGTCTTGGTGACTGGTAACACGTCCCTGTGTCGACCAGGGGAAGGTAAGGGCGTCTTGGTGACTGGTAACACGTCCCTGTGTCGACCAGGGGAAGGTAAGGGCGTCTTGGTGACTGGTAACACGTCCCTGTGTCGACCAGGGGAAGATAAGGGCGTCTTGGTGACTGGTAACACGTCCCTGTGTCGACCAGGGGAAGATAAGGGCGTCTTGGTGACTGGTAACACGTCCCTGTGTCGACCAGGGGAAGATAAGGGCGTCTTGGTGACTGGTAACACGTCCCTGTGTCGACCAGGGGAAGATAAGGGCGTCTTGGTGACTGGTAACACGTCCCTGTGTCGACCAGGGGAAGATAAGGGCGTCTTGGTGACTGGTAACACGTCCCTGTGTCGACCAGGGGAAGATAAGGGCGTCTTGGTGACTGGTAACACGTCCCTGTGTCGACCAGGGGAAGGTAAGGTCGTCTTGGTGACTGGTAACACGTCCCTGTGTCGACCAGGGGAAGATAAGGGCGTCTTGGTGACTGGTAACACGTCCCTGTGTCGACCAGGGGAAGATAAGGGCGTCTTGGTGACTGGTACCACGTCCCTGTGTCGACCAGGGGAAGATAAGGGCGTCTTGGTGACTGGTAACACGTCCCTGTGTCGACCAGGGGAAGATAAGGGCGTCTTGGTGACTGGTAACACGTCCCTGTGTCGACCAGGGGAAGATAAGGGCGTCTTGGTGACTGGTAACACGTCCCTGTGTCGACCAGGGGAAGATAAGGTCGTCTTGGTGACTGGTAACACGTCCATATGAAGACTGCACCTTTCGTGGTGTGGAGTTCAATGGTCAGGAAGTGATCTTGAAAGTCATCAAGATTTTATGTGTGGTATATTTCTCCTGGCAGCAATTGTTGCTCCATCGCTGGCTTGGTCAGCTCTACCTGGTAAGTTTTGTAGTTGAATATCTTTACCCTCTCACTTTCCTTTTTCACGTGGCAGTTAATGAGTACTTACAGTGGAGCCTCGGTTGATGACTGCCCAAGAGGAAGATTTTTTTTGGTTTTACGGGCTATTCATGCCCCGTGCCACCTCTTGGATGGCTTAATCTTTATCAATCAATCTTTTTGGTTGACGACGTCAAATTCATCGTGAAATTTGAATTGGTGTACGACGGTTTACTTGGAAGACGACTTCTGTTCATGCGCGTATGGGTGGAACGAGCGCATGGTGCTGGGGCGCGGGTAGAGGCACTCAGCTTGATTACAAGTCTATCCCCCGCCATGGGTCATAAGAAAGTCAGTGGTAAAGTTCATCCTAAAAAAAATAGTTGTGAGGATGACGATAGAGGAGAAACAAGAGATCTTTCATAGTGAGAATCTGATGTCTCACTCCAGACGAGTGTTAAAACGTAGGGAAAAAGAAGTGTCTATAGACAGATTGTTAGTAAGACAAGCACGCAGTGAGCCACGAGAAGGTCCTAGTGGTATGCCTGTAAAACGTCAGAGAGAGAGAGTACCGCAGAAATGTCTTCACTGCTGTTATAATGGAAGGGGACTCCCCTTCCAGACACTAACACTTCCCCCCCCCCCCCCCCCCCCCCCCGCTCCCTCCTCACTGTCTTCCATACTCCAACAAGAGTTCTCATTCAAGGTAATATACATACAGTACTGTATTGTAGCTAGTACAAAATAAGTGTCATTCAGTATAAAATGTATTAAGTTAATATTTTTTGGGTGTGTGGAACGGGATTAATTCTATTGACATTATTTCTTATGGGGAAAATTTGTTTTGGTTGACGAAGCGTCTCTGGAAAGGGATTACGATCATAAAGGAAGGTACCACATATATCCGGGTCTGTATCTTCGTGTATGTTGCCGAGATCACTTGCTCTGAGCGGAGTACCACATATATCCGGGTCTGTATCTTCGTGTATGTTGCCGAGATCACTTGCTCTGAGCGGAGTCCACATTAGAACATTGTGTCGTGTTATTGTTAATGCCTCGATGACTGTTGAAGCTTGTGGGTCCATTCCAACTGGTGGATTTCTTGGGTCGAGGCGTATCCATTGTGCTGAACTTATTGCTACTTGTCTGGAGGATGACTTGAGGGGTTGTGACATACTATTATGATATTATGTAGCTGTAAACCTCACTCTTACTCTTGGGAAAATTGTGTTGGAATTTTATTTGTCGAGAATTTACTCCCGCTTTAAGAGTCTTTAGGCTACTTTTGTGTCTTGGCTGTTGAACAGTATTCGGTAGCACTTGAGGTTCGTTTTGAGTCCTGGGTGTCTGAGTGTGTGTGGTGTTGACGGCCCATTGTGGTAAAACCTTATACTTTTCTTTAATGCATTAAATTGGCATGCAATAAAAAGATTATTAAGAAGATTAAAATAAAAATGAGTGCTTAGCTGTAATGTGGAGCCCAGACTGCCTCTGAGCCAAGCTCCTGTGAAGAGCTCTGTGACACACGTCTCTCAAGCTCCCAAGTTACCTGAAAAGATTTACCACAAATTAGAGAATATATAAAGTGATAGGATTAACAATATATAAAGTGATAGGATTAACAATAAAATACAGCTTAACGGACAGATTCACATGTCGGCCTAAGCTTTGCCTAACCCAGCGTTGAGATAGTAAGTTATGCTGTAGCTAACTTAACTCCAGCATAACTAACTAAGTTATAACGTTATTGCTGTGAACTAGTATGCCTTAAGTTAACTGCAACATTATCAATAATGATAGCTACTTAGTTATATACTAATATCATATCATTAGCATGTTAGTGCTAAGGAATAATTAAATTATCATCATTAAGTAAACGTTATTTCCTGATAACTATGCCAGGAGCGTGATTAATAATCTTGATAACTATTGATTAGCTTCAATAAGACAATAAGATTTAACTAGGATTGATAATTATTATACAATATATTGAGGTAATGATTTTAATGGAATATGATAACTATATTAATAGTTACTAACGTTAATAATTGGGCTTTGCCCTCGTTGTAACGACCTCCAGTTATAAAGGCAACGGGTAACAACACAATCACCTAATTTGGTCAGTCCAGTAACATGTGTATATTAATACTCATTCTTGTGTATTAACCTGGAGACCGGTGGCCAGACTGACCGGTGCCCAGACTGACCGGTGGCCAGACTGACCGGTGCCCAGACTGACCAGTGGCCAGACTGACCGGTGGCCAGACTGACCGGTGACCAGACTGACCGGTGACCAGACTGACCGGTGACCAGACTGACCGGTGACCAGACTGACCGGTGGCCAGACTGACCGGTGACCAGACTGACCGGTGCCCAGACTGACCGGTGCCCAGACTGACCGGTGCCCAGACTGACCGGTGGCCAGACTGACCGGTGGCCAGACTGACCGGTGACCAGACTGACCGGTGACCAGACTGACCGGTGGCCAGACTGACCGGCGGCCAGACTGACCGGCGGCCAGACTGACCGGCGGCCAGACTGACCGGCGGCCAGACTGACCGGCGGCCAGACTGACCGGCGGCCAGACTGACCGGTGGCCAGACTGACCGGTGGCCAGACTGACCGGTGACCAGACTGACCGGTGACCAGACTGACCGGTGACCAGACTGACCGGTGGCCAGACTGACCGGTGCCCAGACTGACCGGTGACCAGACTGACCGGTGGCCAGACTGACCGGTGACCAGACTGACCGGTGACCAGACTGACCGGTGACCAGACTGACCGGTGACCAGACTGACCGGTGACCAGACTGACCGGTGGCCAGACTGACCGGTGGACCAGACTGACCGGTGACCAGACTGACCGGTGACCAGACTGACCGGTGACCAGACTGACCGGTGACCAGACTGACCGGTGACAACACTGACCGGTGACCAGACTGACCGGTGGCCAGACTGACCGGTGACCAGACTGACCGGTGACCAGACTGACCGGTGACAACACTGACCGGTGACAACACTGACCGGTGACCAGACTGACCGGTGACAACACTGACCGGTGACCAGACTGACCGGTGACCAGACTGACCGGTGACCAGACTGACCGGTGACAACACTGACCGGTGACCAGACTGACCGGTGACCAGACTGACCGGTGACAACACTGACCGGTGACAACACTGACCGGTGACAACACTGACCGGTGACCAGACTGACCGGTGGCCAGACTGACCGGTGGCCAGACTGACCGGTGACAACACTGACCGGTGACCAGACTGACCGGTGGCCAGACTGACCGGTGACAACACTGACCGGTGACCAGACTGACCGGTGACCAGACTGACCGGTGACAACACTGACCGGTGACCAGACTGACCGGTGGCCAGACTGACCGGTGGCCAGACTGACCGGTGGCCAGACTGACCGGTGACCAGACTGACCGGTGACAACACTGACCGGTGACCAGACTGACCGGTGACAACACTGACCGGTGGCCAGACTGACCGGTGGCCAGACTGACCGGTGGCCAGACTGACCGGTGGCCAGACTGACCGGTGACCAGACTGACCGGTGACAACACTGACCGGTGACCAGACTGACCGGTGACCAGACTGACCGGTGACAACACTGACCGGTGACCAGACTGACCGGTGACAACACTGACCGGTGACCAGACTGACCGGTGACAACACTGACCGGTGACAACACTGACCGGTGGCCAGACTGACCGGTGGCCAGACTGACCGGTGACCAGACTGACCGGTGACAACACTGACCGGTGACCAGACTGACCGGTGACCAGACTGACCGGTGACAACACTGACCGGTGGCCAGACTGACCGGTGGCCAGACTGACCGGTGACAACACTGACCGGTGGCCAGACTGACCGGTGGCCAGACTGACCGGTGACAACACTGACCGGTGGCCAGACTGACCGGTGGCCAGACTGACCGGTGGCCAGACTGACCGGTGGCCAGACTGACCGGTGGCCAGACTGACCGGTGACCAGACTGACCGGTGACCAGACTGACCCGTGACCAGACTGACCGGTGGCCAGACTGACCCGTGGCCAGACTGACCGGTGGCCAGACTGACCGGTGGCCAGACTGACCGGTGACCAGACTGACCGGTGACCAGACTGACCGGTGACCAGACTGACCGGTGGCCAGACTGACCCGTGACCAGACTGACCGGTGGCCAGACTGACCCGTGACCAGACTGACCGGTGGCCAGACTGACCGCTGGCCAGACTGACCGCTGGCCAGACTGACCCGTGACCAGACTGACCGGTGACCAGACTGACCGGTGACCAGACTGACCCGTGACCAGACTGACCGGTGGCCAGACTGACCCGTGACCAGACTGACCGGTGGCCAGACTGACCGGTGGCCAGACTGACCGGTGACCAGACTGACCGGTGACCAGACTGACCGGTGACCAGACTGACCGGTGGCCAGACTGACCCATGACCAGACTGACCGGTGGCCAGACTGACCCGTGACCAGACTGACCGGTGGCCAGACTGACCGCTGGCCAGACTGACCGCTGGCCAGACTGACCCGTGACCAGACTGACCGGTGACACTTGCTAAGGATTAGTTCTGCCACTAATATATTGCTCTATATGTCTTATTATTTCAGGGTGCAGACATTGGGAGCCGTGACTCACTGTCAACAGTGGCCGCCGTGGCTCACTGTCAACAGTGCCCGCCGTGACTCACTGTCAACAGTGGCCGCCGTGGCTCACTGTCAACAGTGCCCGCCGTGACTCACCGTCAACAGTGCCCGCCGTGGCTCACCGTCTACAGTGCCCGCCGTGCCTCACTGGCAACAGTGCCCGCCGTGACTCACCGTCAACAGTGCCCGCCGTGGCTCACCGTCAACAGTGGCCGCCGTGGCTCACCGTCAACAGTGGCCGCCGTGACACACCGTCAACAGTGCCCGCCGTGACTCACCGTCAACAGTGCCCGCCGTGACTCACCGTCAGCAGTGCCCGCCGTGACTCACCGTCAACAGTGGCCGCCGTGGCTCACCGTCAACAGTGGCCGCCGTGACACACCGTCAACAGTGGCCGCCGTGACTCACCGTCAACAGTGGCCGCCGTGGCTCACCGTCAACAGTGGCCGCCGTGACTCACCGTCAACAGTGGCCGCCGTGACTCACCGTCAACAGTGGCCGCCGTGACTCACCGTCAACAGTGCCCGCCGTGACTCACCGTCAACAGTGCCCGCCGTGACTCACCGTCAACAGTGCCCGCCGTGACTCACCGTCAACAGTGCCCGCCGTGACTCACCGTCAACAGTGCCCGCCGTGACTCACTGTCAACAGTGCCCGCCGTGACTCACTGTCAACAGTGCCCGCCGTGACTCACCGTCAACAGTGCCCGCCGTGACTCACCGTCAACAGTGCCCGCCGTGACTCACCGTCAACAGTGGCCGCCGTGACTCACCGTCAACAGTGGCCGCCGTGACTCACCGTCAACAGTGGCCGCCGTGACTCACCGTCAACAGTGGCCGCCGTGGCTCACCGTCAACAGTGGCCGCCGTGGCTCACCGTCAACAGTGGCCGCCGTGGCTCACCGTCAACAGTGGCCGCCGTGGCTCACCGTCAACAGTGGCCGCCGTGACTCACCCTCAATAGTGGCCGCCGTGGCTCACTGTCAACAGTGCCCGCCGTGGCTCACTGTCAACAGTGCCCGCCGTGACTCACCGTCAACAGTGGCCGCCGTGACTCACCGTCAACAGTAGCCGCCGTGGTGGATGGTAGTGAAGCCCCTGCCTGCTGCTTCATGTGAACGGGTCGCTAGTGGCAGGAATATTTTGACCACGTTGGCAGGACATTTTGAGAATCTTAAAGTGGATAGAGTTCTACCCACTTGAAGACTCCGTACCAATATAGAAGCATCAAGAGGAAGTATAGGCCAATAGGCCCTTTGTAGTTACTTCCATTCTTCCCTTTCACTTATCCAATTAATACCCATTGTTCCGTGTTCTGTCTTGTGTTGGTCAAAAGTTTGTTCACCTCATCCAAAACTGTTGCAACATATCACCTCACCCAAATGCGAGTATATAAGACAAGCTGTTTAGCGTTAGAATTAGTAAAACTCTGTTAAGTGTTTTCAGGTTACAGTTGTGTGTGTGTAAACTAAAGTCTTTGAAAATGTAATAAGTTATTACGAACGCGTTCTAGCGTCGCGTCAGACTAGAAATAAAAATGAATTTTGGAGAATTGATTTTTCAATTACCATCGACAGTAAAAAGAAACATAAGAAATATTGAGAAAATTCGTGTTAGAATTATTAATATTACTTTTTCGGTCATATTTAACATTATATATATATATATATATATATATATATATATATATATATATATATATATATATATATATATATATATATATATATAATCCTAGCGGGCTACTGGTGGCCTTTGGTCAAGTGGCCTATGTGGTCCATGTGGCCTATGTGGTCCATGTGGCCAATGTGGTCCAAGTGACCTATGTGGTCCATGTGGCCTATGTGGTCCATGTGGTCCAAGTGGCCAATGTGGTCCAAGTGACCTATGTGGTCCATGTGGCCTATGTGGCCTATGTAGTCCAAGTGGCCTATGTAGTCCAAGTGGCCTATGTGGTCCAAGTGGTCCATGTGGCCTATGTGGTCCATGTGGCCTATGTGGTCCATGTGGCCTATGTGGTCCAAGTGGCCTATGTGGTCCAAGTGGTCCATGTGGCCTATGTGGTCCATGTGGTCCAAGTGGCCTATGTGGTCCATGTGGCCTATGTGGTCCATGTGGTCCAAGTGGCCTATGTGGTCCAAGTGGTCCATGTGGCCTATGTGGTCCATGTGGTCCAAGTGGTCCATGTGGTCCAAGTGGCCTATGTGGTCCATGTGGTCCAAGTGGCCTATGTGGTCCATGTGGTCCAAGTGGCCTATGTGGTCCATGTGGCCTATATGTGGTTCATGTGGTCCAAGTGGCCTATGTGGTCCAAGTGGTCCATGTGGCCTATGTGGTCCATGTGGCCTATGTGGTCTATGTGGTCCATGTGGCCTATGTGGTCCATGTGGCCTATGTGGTCCATGTGGCCTATGTGGTCCAAGTGGCCTATGTGGTCCATGTGGCCTATGTGGTCCAAGTGGCCTATGTGGTCCATGTGGCCTATGTGGTCCAAGTGGCCTATGTGGTCCATGTGGCCTATGTGGTCCAAGTGGCCTATGTGGTCCATGTGGCCTAAACACACAACATATAAGATTTATATATTTCATTGAAGTGGAATTTTCCACAAGCATTATCGCGCACTTTGGGTTTGAGAGTTCCCTCATTATGTTCACACTCAGCAGTGTGTGTGTGTGTGTGTATTCACCTAGTTGTATTCACCTAGTTGTGTTTGCGGGGGTTGAGCTTTGCTCTTTCGGCCCGCCTCTCAACTGTCAATCAACTGTTTACTAACTACACTATTTTTTTTTTTTTTTTTTCACACCACACACACACACCCCAGGAAGCAGCCCGTGACAGCTGACTAACTCCCAGGTACCTATTTACTGCTAGGTAACAGGGGCATTCAGGGTGAAAGAAACTTTGCCCATTTGTTTCTGCCTCGTGCGGGAATCGAACCCGCGCCACAGAATTACGAGTACTGCGCGCTATCCACCAGGCTACGAGGCCCTTGTAATGGGTGTGTGTGATAATAGTGTGTGTGTGTGTGTGTGAGTGTGAGTGTGAGTGTGTGTGTGTGTGTGTGTGTGTGTGTGTGTGTGTGTGTGTGTGTGTGTGTGTGTGTGTGTGTGAGTGTGTGTGAGTGTGTGTGTGTGTGTGAGTGTGTGAGTGTGTGAGTGTGTGAGTGAGTGTGTGTGTGTGTGTGTGTGTGAGTGTGAGTGTGTGTGTGTGTGTGTGTGAGTGTGTGCGAGTGTGAGTGGAGTGTTGTGGGTGCATTAATGGCATCCCTGAGGGGGTTGGGGATGAGTAGTGGCGGTGGTTCAGTGCCCTCGGGTCCGGCGGGGCTTCCTGCCATAGTGGGTCCTTGTAGTTGTTGGAGCAGACTGTGGGCGTGTTGATAACATTGTTGTCCTGGAGGCCTGTAGACTCTCAGCAGAGGGAGCAGAGTCTGGCATGTCCGTGGCACCTGCACGTTCCCTTCACCGTTGTTGCAAGTGACACTGATAACTTTTCAAGATGTGCAGCGATCATGCTGCTCAACTTCTCACTTGGGAGGCCACCGTTAGTGTTATGAGTCCCTGGTGGTTATTCTTCTGGTGAATCTTACTTTCAGACTGGACAAAATTTGGGCTTACCTGGTTGATGGGGTTCTGGGAGTTCTTCTACTCCCTAAGCCCGGCCCGAGGCCAGGCTTGACTTGTGAGAGCTTGGTCCACCAGGCTGTTGCTTGGAGCGGCCCGCAGGCCCACATGCCCACCAAAGCCTGGTCCGGCACTCCTTGAAGAAAACTATCTAGTTTTCTCTTGAAGATGTCTACGGTTGTTCTGGCAATATTTCTTATATTCGCTGGGAGGACGTTGAACAACCGTGAACCTCTGATGTTTATACAGCGTACCTGGAGCTTTGCAATTACTTTATTCACTCTCGTGTACTTGAAGATATCCTCATAGTGCACCCAAAATTTGCCAGTGGAGGCTACTGAACATATGGCCCTGTATGACTAACCATCCTGCGAGATGGGGACTTTTAGTATCACTGCTGCCTTATTCACTCTTGTGTTGATGATATCCTCATAATACACCCAGAGTTTGTCAGTCCAGCCTGTCACATGCCTCTGTATGACTAACCATCGTGTGTGATGGGGATTTTTAGCATCACTTGGCTACATTTTTGACACACTGTACTCCCCTTCAGTAGTGCAAGGGACGCCATAGACCGGCTATTTTGTTTTTTCCCCAAGCTGGTCTATGGCATACGTGGGTTTTGATTTTTCCCCAAGCCGGTTTATTACACAGGGGTGTTGTCCAATTTTTCCCCCGACTGCCGGGCACCGACATAGGGGGGGGGGGGTATTTTCATTTTTTTCATATCATTTATGAGTGCTCCCTCCCATCATATATAATTATCAACTGCTCCCTTCAATCACATAAAAATTCCCCAAAGGGTAGAATTAAAAGGCTCCCTCCTAGCGCCTGCCATTTCACTCAAGGGGATTAAACGGCCGCCTCCTGCAGTCATCCCAAAATTTGGTCACCTCAGAGACCCTGCACAGACATTGCTAATGGTCATCCAGTCTTCATCTTACCTGTATAAGATCGTTTTCTGATATGCTATATTTATTCCCATTTTTAATATTTATGTCAAGGGAGATTAAAAGGCCGGCTCCCGTGTGGCCTGTTTAGCGATACCCCAGCCAGTCATTGTTCCTCTTCTAAATCTCTTAAATTTCGCTCAAGGGGATTAAAAGGCCGGCTCCTGTCGGACCTAAATCTCATTACCTCAATGACCCTGCACAGACATCACTAATGGTTAATGACGTAGTCACTCTTCATCTTCCCTGAATAAGTCTGTTTTCTGTTATGGTGTATTTATTCCCATCTTCAATATTTATGGCAAGGGGGGGGGGGGGGAGTACAAGGCCGCCTTCCGTCAAGCCTAATGTACAGTGACGTCATCCATAATAATAATAATAATAATCCCGTGTTCAGTAGTATATTCAAACCCATATTCTTATTGTTTCCTTATTTATAAAAGATAATTTTTTTCTAGTCAAGACGACATATTCAATATAAGAAATTAAATTGCAAACAGTCTTTTGTAGGGAGCCAAACAGGGTCTCCAGCTCAGGTTAAACATAGGAACACTACTCAACTCCTGTTGGAGTCTCCAAGTACATACAAATGTTTTTTATTATTATTATATAATTTTCAAAACAAACAGCTATAACATCACTCGGACATTTTCATTTATTGCTCCCACACTGGTAATCCCATGTACGCCTCATTATGGCCCAAAACACCTCGCTGCAGCATATACCCATCTATACCCAATGTAAATGTTCATTCAGTGTACATATATATGAACTAGTTTGGGTAGATATAAATACAAACTGCCTCGTAGGGGTAAAATAGGCCTTCTGCAGTTACTTTCATTCTTATGTTCTCAATCTTAATAATAGACACGTCATCATCACAATGAGGTCTTCTCCACCAATGGGGTACGCTGCTTCAACCGTCCACCACGTCACAAGCGGGTCCACCACGTCACAAGCGGGTCCACCACGTCACAAGCGGGTCCACCACGTCACAAGCGGGTCCACCACGTCACAAGCGGGTCCACCACGTCACAAGCGGGTCCACCACGTCACAAGCGGGTCCACCACGTCACAAGCGGGTCCACCACGTCACAAGCGGGTCCACCACGTCACAAGCGGGTCCACCACGTCACAAGCGGGTCCACCACGTCACAAGCGGGTCCACCACGTCACAAGCGGGTCCACCACGTCACAAGCGGGTCCACCACGTCACAAGCGGGTCCACCACGTCACAAGCGGGTCCACCACGTCACAAGCGGGTCCACCACGTCACAAGCGGGTCCACCACGTCACAAGCGGGTCCACCACGTCACAAGCGGGTCCACCACGTCACAAGCGGGTCCACCACGTCACAAGCGGGTCCAGTAAGGGGTCCAACCACCTCTCATTAACACACTGAGTAAACTCTCTTAACGGCTCAACTCTTCTCGGTAAGTACCATCACCGGCTATACAATGATGCCTTGTATCCACTCGTATCTTTGCTTATTGTATCATTACTCATATTTTTGTTATTCCATTCATCGACGCTACAGACCCAACCTACCCTACAATAATCAAATAAAAAAAACAATTATTTCGTTGTTTTAGCGATGCAAGACGTCAAAACACGGTTCGAGTGAGGGATTAATATTGCCTCTCATTAACACAGATGTCAGACAGACTCACGGTAACCTAACTTTTCAACTGTGAGTGACGTCACAAGATGTGCAAAAAGGCCTTGGCATCCTACTTATTTATGTAGTACATTAAATGTTGTTATTCAAAAAATGGCTTGACTATCCATCCCCAGCTAACCCAAACTCATCACAGGTCCAAGAATATGCATTTATAAATTTGTATAATTTGTAATCGTAATAGTTAGCATTCTAATGGCTAATTCTAGTTTTTAACGAACAATACAGTGGGGGGGGGGGGGGAAGCACGATATTTCAAATGACAATCTCTGTAATCGCAGTACTGGATTATCTACAGGGGATATAGGGATATCTATATAGGGGATATCTATAACATGGTATGAAGGGGATATCTATATCATGGTATACAGGGGATATCTATATCATGGTATAAAGGGAATATCTGTAGATAGCACTATAATACCTGTATTCATTGGTTAGTCAACTGTCCTCACAGCCATCAAATACCTGTCTAGATGTTGCACTGCAAGTCAAACAACTCAGTTGGATGCCAGCCACTATTTTTATAAGTTAATCATTCCTAGACCTCAAAAATCCCAATCTTGATACGCAAATTAGCTAACTTGTTTCTAAACAGTCACAAATACATACATACATACACATACAGACATACACACACACATACATACATACACCAGAACCCATACATGCATAGATAATAGCCAGTTTTGCTTCCATTGTCTCATGATTGATTGATGAAGATTAAGCCACCCAAAAGGTGGCACGGGCATGAATAGCCCGTAAGTGGTGGCCCTTTGGAGCCATTACCATTATCAAGAGCTGATACTGGAGATGTGTGGAGGTGCAACTGCACCCTGCGTGACGGGAGATGTCTCCTGTGAATTGTCTCATTTAATAAGATGTAATTTATACCATGTTAATCCCTAAAAAGGATTAAGAATAAGATTTCAGTAATCCCACAGCTCATTCACCAATCGATCTTTAATTTTTGTACTGTTAATTCATATAAATGCATACAGTCAGCAAGGTAACCTTAT